AAATGAAGGAGAAAAAAAAAAAAAAAAAAAAAAAAAAAAACCCAACAAAAAAACAGAAAACAACAACAACAAAAAAAAAACCATAGAAATAGAAATAGAACATGAAAATTACCTTTTCTATCAACCAAATAAACAGAAATTACAATGGAAAATATAGGAAAAATAAGTTCACAATACAAAAGCCATTCAAATACTGAATGAAAAAATGTATTAAAAAATTACAAATAAAAGTTAATGCCAATATTACACAAAGAGCTTAGCAGATTTATAAAAGCAATAAAAGATTGAGAAAAGGAATATGAACAAATAACACAAAAACATGCCATTCTGTAGGCATTAAAGCAAACAAAACAAATATGGGAACACAAAAAATAACAGCAAGCTTCACAAAAGCAGTCTTATTTATTTACGGTGATAACCATATAAATTAATATAATTTTTTATTGAAAAGTTTATTCAGTGCAAACATATTTTGATTGCTTCTTGATTTTAATTTAATTCACATGGTTTGAAGGTGATAGACTGATGACTATCACATGTGGTCAATTTGCAAGTTGTGTTTGATCATATTGTGGTGCTGATTGTATCAATTAGGATAAAGGATTGTGATTGATTCAATGAGCTGTTTTCTTCGGTACTATGAAAATGAGAATGTCTATGAGTCATCAGAGACCCATGGGCTGAAGCCCAACTATATCAGGAAGATTTAAGTAATAACCTAAAAGTTAAACTAAGGACAACCCAACAACAATAGTAAAAATGAGAAAACGCTTAAGCAACAGGGACAGACATCCAGTTCACCAATGGCAAACAGTGGGGCAAATGAGAATGAGAAGTTGACAGTGAACCATCAGGACACCCTGAACTCAAAGCACAGGAAGTAACAAAACTGATCAATCAGGCTCTAGAGAAATTTAAAACAGAAGTAATTTCCCAGATAATCATCGAGATGATGAGCAAAATGACAGTTATAATTTGAGACTCTAAAACAGAAACTGAGGAAAATAGCTGAGCTCAGGACCATGATAGAAGCCATGAATGCTCAGCATAAGAAAGAAATGGAAACAATAAATGCCCAATATAAGAAAGAAATGGAATCCACAGGGCAGATTCAAGCAGATATCCAGGAGATTAAAAACTCCATTGAGAGTGTTCGCAACAGAATAAGAGTCCGAAGATAGAATCTCAGATATAGAAGATAAAATTGCAGTCAGTGACCATGAAAAAAGAGGTCTTTTAAAAACAGTAGGGGATCATGAGAAATTTATCCAACAACGCTTAGAAGATGCAAAGAAGAATAACATAAGATTGATAGGAATCCAAGAAGTAGCAGGAGAAAATGCAAATGAGTTAAAAAAAGCTGTTCACAGAATTAATTATAGAAAACTTCCCAAACAGAGGGGAAGAATTTGACATAGAGATAAGTGAGGCATATAGGGCTCCCAACTAGCTGTGATCAAAAAAAAAAAAAAAAAAATCTAAACCTATTCATACAATAATTAAAATCCCAGAAACCCAAAAGAAGAACAAAATACTACAAGCAGTAAGAGATAAGAAACAAATCACATGCAAAGGAAAGCCCATCAGAATAACAGCAGACTTTTCAACACAAACCCTTAGGGTTAAGGAGAGCCTGAAATGTGACATTTCAATTACTAAAAGAAAACAACCTCCAACCTAGACTGATATATCCTGCAAAACTTTCTTTCAAAATGGATGGGGAAATAAGATACTTCCATGACAAAGAACACCTGAGAAATTTCATGAATACCAAACTAGCACTACAAGGAATTCTAAACAATATCCTAGAAAAAGACAATGAAGGTAACAACACCATGAGGCCCAACAGAGCAAATCAAATAGGTAAGGTAAGAAACTAAAAGGAGAAGGTGAAAAAAACATGAGAATAATAAGTTAGTACATATCAATTATAACCATCAATATCAATGGCCTCAATTCACCAATCAAGAGAAACAGATTGGAAGAATGGATTAAGAAACAGAATCCAATAATATGTTGTATACAAGACACACCTAGTGCAAAAAGAAGCCCATAGACTGAAAGTGAAAGGACAGAAAACTTCATGCAACAGGAGCCCAGAAAAAAGCAGAGGTAGCAATCTTATTCACAAAGTAAATTTCAAACCTAAACTGAATGAAAGAGACAAAGAAGGCCACTACATCCTTGTGAAGGAAACAATTCAAGAGGAAGAGATAGCAAATAATTTCTTTTCAATCTATTATGTTAGAAAGCTCATATGCTCCTTTTCTCTTTTCTTTTTCTTTCCCTGGTGCTGGGGATTAAATTCAGCACATTGCTCTGGCTAGGCAGGTGGAGCACTATTGAGCTAAATCTCAGGCTTTACATTTCATATTTTTAAAATTTATCAACATATTAATCTTTGTCATTATATGTTGGTCTACCAAATTGATGAGTTATTTTGGTTCTCATTTTGCTTTTTTATTTGAGAATTTATGAAATCTATATATATGAATAGTACGAAAAGTATTAAGGTCCATCTGTCATTCTCCTCTCTCATGTCTGCCTTCTGCAAACTTCCTTTTCTGTCACTACAGCTTGTTTGGTTAGAAATTTAAGGCAAATTTTGTTATGTTATCAATATATCTTTGTACCTATTTTCTACTGATAACAAATATTAATTCTAAGTAAATTTTATCATAACTATACTTAAATAAATGGATAATAAATCATTAATATCATTCAGTATTTGGTACATATTACAAATTCTCCAACTACCTCAAAGATGATATTTGTTTTTCTCAAATCACACAAATCACAAACATTCCATACAACACTGCACTGTTTTATTACCAAAGTATATATTGTATTGTAGAAAATACGCATTGTGTATATGTGTGGGGGGTGTTTTTACACATATGTGTGCACTATTAAATGAGAAACATGGTCATGAATGTGGTAGGATTTTGCACATTTGGCATATCGATAGTTTATCTGGCAACCTTATGATTTCTCTAAATTACATGCTTGATTTAATTCATAATCATTTGTTTGGGAAGAATATTACATATGTATTGAAGTTAAATTCTATCATTATGCTTATAAAAATATAATAAAAATAAGTATGGGATATAATAAAATAGAAATAGAAAAATACTGATATTAAAAATGTGAACTCAGTTGTTTTTGGATTTCAAATATAAGTATATTTTCTGTGGGAAGTTTTGTTAGAAAATGTAAGTGATATAATCAACAAGCATATGTTATTTATCAAATTAATAAAACCAAGGAGTTAATAAATCATAAAATTTTGAGGACAGTTTCTCAACTATAATACGTAACCTTGTTTTATTTATAAATACATTATTTCAAAAATATACGAAAAGAAAATGAGAAAGAACATATAATGTTTGAAGATCATATCAAACTAATAATGTATTTGTATTATCAGTCTGTGTTGTATAAATTTTTATTTCATATCCTTTTTTGCTGTCATATATATGTATAGTTGAAATTTTTATTTCGTATCTTCATTTCTTGTTGTCATGTATGTTTGCAATCTTTAAGAAAAAAAAACACATGCCATGCTGCAGGCATTAAAGCAAACAAAACAAATATGGGAACATAAAAAATAACAGCAAGCTTCACAAAAGCAGTCTTAGTTATTTAAGCTGACAACCATATAAATTAATATAATTCTTTCTTTTTTGGTACCAAGGATCAAAATCAGGATAAATTAATATAATTCTTAGAAATAAATTTAACAATTCTCCTCCTCTCTCTTTTTTAAAATTTGGTACTGTTGCTTAAACCCGGGGCTATGTGTATAATAAAGATACAATCTACCATGGAACTATACTTCCAGCCCAAGAATTTGTTGAAATTTAACGTAATTAAAAGAATGAAGATTAAATGTACAACTTCTTAAATTTTCTTCTAATATTTTATGGGTTTTTTTTTTCCCCATTTCTAAGTCTTTAAGTTACCTGGAATACATTTTTGTATAAGGTGCCAGCCATAAAAGTTGTTTTTCAAAATGTATAAGTTGAATAGACACCAAATACATTAAATTCTTACTCAATTTGAGGTTATGTTCCTATTCTAACATTCTGATTATTTTTTTGGCTATTACTAACATAGTGTATCTTAGCACCTGAAGTTTGATTCACCCATACCTTTCTTTATCATAATTTTCTTGGCTCTGCTTGGGCATTCATTTTTTCATATTGTTATTTTTACTGAGGTCTGAAATGAATTTTCATTGAAATAAAATTGAATTTATATATGTGACATTTTAAATGATACTAAATCTTCTTGATAACATGGCACGTTTTTTCATTGTTCACAGCTATCATTTTTTATCCTTATATGTTGCTAATTTATTC